TGAGTGTCCATAATTGTGTGTGTATCCATGGTAACTACAGGAGAGAAAGTAAGGCTGCATAATCCTTCTTAAGTAATACAATGTTATGTTTTCCTTGGTAGACAAAGAGATGCTAGCTAGACATAAGCATATTAAACGGCCTGTGAATATCAAAGTTACAGATATATTCCTAACTAGCAAAATGGAAATTTTCAGTAAAATCATGGCTTGTGGTAATACTTCAGGAATATAGATACAAAATTTCTGGAGCTTCTGTTTTGAATAAAGGTGGGCAAACTAACTTCAGATCAATCATTTCAGTTAAATCTTCATTCTCTTAATCTTACCATTAGATAGAAAAGTCATAACTAATCATGCCAATCTTTCTGCTTACCAGAAGAAGGACTAAATTCTTCTCTGACTAATCAAAATGGAATTTACACCCTTTTAATGTGCCATATTCCTATGTGATAGGCTAAATATATTCAGATACATGTTTTCATGTGGTATAAATGATTCAAGAATCAACATGATATTAACTGTGTTGCTATATTTTAATCAGGGCTTTTTTCCTTGTTTTCTTCTTTTAATAATTGGTTTTGGTAGGCAAAAAACCCTGAATATTCTAGACACAGTTGTGACTGTCATTTAAAACTCAAAAATATCTGGGCACTAGTTTTGTTTTATACCTTCCAGGTTTCATCCTATGAATCTTGGTAAAACTTGCAGGAACTGTAAGACTGCTGTCATATTGACAAGAAACAGCAGAAATTGCACACTTCTGGAAGTGAAATTAAACACAAAACACTTCAGCACTGATGCTGAAGTGAAAGAAGGTCTTTACAACTACTTCTTCTAGCATTTAAGGTCTATAGAGGTATGTATGTGGACAGAAAATAGATGCAGCTGAAGAGAGATAAACTTAGGAGAAAAAAAAAAAAGCTATTTTACTGTAAAAGAGAAAGAAAAAAAATCTAGTTTTATATACAGGCAAAATGTTTTCTAAATGGAAGATTTTTTTTTCCAATTTTCCCTGAGTTTTCAGCTGCTTTCTAATGGGACATACAAACTGAAGAAGGAATGTAAGCATAGGTTCTGATTCCACAGCAATTTTTTCCTACAGCTGCTGGCCCACAGAAGTTTGGCATCTGCAGCATCCCAGCCACGAAAGTAATCCATTGAGGGGAAATCTATTTTTTTGGATTCCCATCTATGAGATGCATTTGATCTTTTGATGGCCTTCGCAACATCAGAGGCTGATTTTGTTTAGCACAGTTTCTATTTAAAGAAAGAAAACTGGGAGTCCTCAGGTTAGTATTTTCTCACAACATCCCTTGGTGTGTTTTTCTTTGTTTTCCCCCTCTTTCAGCCATGGGGGGTACGGCAGTTGGGAGAGGAAAGAAGATAATTAAACCTGTTTACAGTCATTGTAATTTGTCCACCACTTTAATTATGACTTCATCAAGGATAAGAAAGAGACTTTAGGTGCTGAAGGTTTTAATGCTGACAAATCTGTCATGACATAGCCCTTGTAAACACAGAAAGGTCCAGTGTAGGAATGGTAAGGAAGAAAATCTCCATTTTGGACCAGGATCAGAGAACAAGAATAAGGACGATAATCCAGTTTTCCTGTAAGTATCTGCAGCCTCTGAGGAAAGATCCCTCTTCAGTTTTTCAAAATAAAATGCTTCAAAGTAGCTCATTCCCACACTGGTAAGGTGAGAAGATAAAAGATCTAGACTGAGTTGTATTCGATTAACTGTGTGTCTGATATTGAAGGGTATGATAACCTCACAAAACTCAAGTAATGGAGCTCTAGAAGACAAACAGATGACAGAGTTGTAGAACTGAGAAGCCTCCTGGATGCTTAGTACAAAGCATCACGCACTCCTATTCCAAGGGAAAAGTCAAGTATAACTTTCATGATTTTTGATATTTGTTTGTCTACTCTGTACTTAGAAACCTTAAATGACTTCCCTAGTTAATGACTTCCAATGATTCTTCTTTTTTTTTTCTTTTTTTAATAATTTAGTAAATTTTTCTTATAGAAGCAGTGCCAAATTATGCAGCCTGCATGTATTGCCTGTTCCTGGATACATTCATAACATGTAGTCATGGAACCAGAATGAGCTAGTCTGGTGAAGTGCCTTCTGGAAGTAATTTTTCTTCGAAAGGAAAAGGCTAGTCTGATATATTAAATAATTCTGTGCTGGAGCCAGAGCTAATTGCTTTGTTCTGATTTTAAATGTTGTCCTGGAGGTGTCACATTGTTAGTATGTGAAGTTAGCTGGTTCAGTAATTGTGATGATATAAAAAAACCCTACTGGTTTAAAGCTACTTATTAACAAATCAGTAAGCCTTAAGTGACTTGAACAGTGCTCTGAGCAAAAACTTGTAGGACCTTTGTATAACTCTCCTAGAGGGCTGCATGGGTTGGAAAGACCACCCACTTCTGTTGTAAGTAGGCTCGATTCTCTAAAGAACCTGTGGATCTGGAATTCTGTGCATAGGAGGGAGTGAGCTGGATGTAATTCAAATATCATCCTTCAACAAACACTCAATGGATTGGTATTTAAAAGTATCTACGAAGTCTCTTTGCTCTTTTTCTTAGAGAAGTCTGGCTCCTGGAACAGAAATAAATTATGGAAAACATTGCATTACCATAGGATGGAGGAAGTGACCTTGGAAATAGTGGGCATGTCCATGTCTAGATGGCTTAAACTGCTGCGGGATTCTTATAATCTATCCAGATTTACAGGAATTATGGTTATAGGTGCTGAAACCATCTGTGTTGAAACTTGCAAGAGATTCCATTTTGCCAGGAGAATAATCAATGGAAATTCCATTCAGACATGCCAGTTTATTCATCTCTTGGCTTTTCTTGTTGATTTACCATGGGGTGGGAGGCAGAAAGGAAGGATAAGTTTCCAGTTAAAGTGCCATAGAGCTCAAAGTGGTTGTTTGGTAACCCCTTCTGGTGGACAGTAGCATGTCACTTAAGATGGCCTGTGAATTTCATCTGAAAAATAGCTGGGTTGGTGTTTTGGTTTTGTTTTGTTTTTCATTTTTTTTTTCCCCCATATCCTGTAGCATGATGTTGGAGATCTGTGGAAGCACTTCAGTGACATTCCTTACAATTTCAGAAGAATACTCTATAAAACACATTCTTCATGGTTCCCTGTAAACTTTTGAACTTAGCTACCTTTGTTCATCAGCCACAATAGTATTTATTAACCTTAAAGGGATGACACAAAGCCCTTGTTTTCCCTTATTTGAAAGATGGTAGGGAAAATAATAAATATTAAACTTTTCTTAATTAGGTCACTGTATTATGCATAATTTTCATAGACAATTTAAATAATTATAAATGATGTAAAGTATATGTACTGTGCTACTGGGGATGTACGGTAATAATAAGAATTTTATTGGGGTTTTTACTCTGAAGACAGCTAAGAAAAATCTCAGAGCTTCCCCAAACCACTCTT